GGACTGCATTTCGGCCCGACCTCCTGAATCCTCCCACCAGGTTTCCCTGGTTACTCCCCGACCCTTTCTTCTTCTTCTTGACAAATTTTCCCCGGCAGTTTGGTTTGCTTGTTTGGTTTTGGGGTTTTTTTTTGCTTGACAAATTTTTGTTCGGTATCTTTTTTGAAACCATCTGGCCAAGCCAGATGGTCTCCCAGGGCTGCCAATTGGTTAGGACTGGCCCTGGGGCTTAGGGCCAGGGTGTGTGTGTGTGTGGGAGGGGTGTACCTTAGCCCTGATGCACTGCTGGGCTGCTAGCAGACTGCAAGAGCCTCCAGGAGATTGAGTCCAAATTCCAGGTGACTCCCAGCCAGTGTTCTGCCCATGGATGGAAAAAAGTAGAGGGAATTCATCTTGATACGTGCACCAGTGTGCAGATGTGCATCACCAGTACAAACCAAAGCTTACCTGTAATATATACTTTTAAAAAATTACAGGGATAATTACTCCTCACCAGTCAGGTCAGGCATTTTAGAACTCACTACTCAATTTAAGCATAAGACAGAAAGACAGAAAGAAAGACTATAAAATGCATGGACCAGTCAAAACCTGAAATAACACACTTTGAAAGAAGTAACAGCAACAACACAAGTATGTGTTGTGTCAGGAGGTGAGTGAGATCAGTGTGGATGAGGCATCTAAGCTACACAACCACAAAGCTGAAGTTGATGTATCTAGATTTATTTACCACAGTATCTTCATCACAGTAAGTCCACAGCTCACGTTCTCTGCTGACTCCACCTACTCTGCTCATTCCAGTGGAGTACTGAGTCAATGGGAGAGCATTTAGTGGTTGATTTATCACATATGTGCTAAATGCAATAAGCTGACCAGCCCCCGCTGAACTGATTGCTGCTTGTCAATCTGACGAGTAACAAAGACACACCCAGAAAGACAGTGTGTTTGTGTGAATGAGACGCTGAATTGATTGCTGCTTGTCAATCTGACGAGTAACAAAGACACCCCCAGAAAGACAGTGTGTTTGTGTGAATGAGACACACACACACAGTATGTGAGAGTGACAGAGATTTGCTTGTCCCTTGAAGTATGCTGAGAGCATTCAGACATAGGAGTAGCTAACAGCAAGCTCCATCCAGCCTGAGCCCTGTCATGACCCTCCGTGGGGATGCAGTACAGGGATGGAGCACGGGGGACACCCTGACATCAGCGCCCCCTCCTCTGCTTCCTTCACCCTGCACAGCAATCAGGAGGCTCTTGGGGCACAGCTCCAAGGCAGGCAGCAGGAGAAGCATGGCAGTGGGTGGAAGGGCAGCTGAAGTGCAGGTAAAAAAAAAAAAATTAAATGGAGATTGCCTATCTCCTAGAACTGGAAGGGACCTTGATCAGTCATCAAGTCCAGTCCCCTGCCTTCACAGCAGGACCAAGCATCATCCCTGATGAATTTTTGCCCCAAATGGCCTCCACAAGGATTGAACTCATAACCCTGGGTTTAGCAGGCCAATGCTCAAACCACTGAGCTAATCCCTCCCTAACAGCTTCTTTGCCAGTCCAATAAGGATCACCTGTCAGAGGCTCCAAGATCTGCCAGTAAAGCCCCATCTGTTGGTTGCGACCACTGCTCTAGTTCCTCTTCAGTGTGAGGACAAACCTCAACAAAAAGAACGACTCTCAATCACATCTGAAAACTTTATTTGGAAAAGGGTCAAGAATACATTTAATAGAGTTTCAACTGATTCCATTACAATTCTGTAAATGTTACTTTGCTGTTGATCTGAATATTTGGAGGCTTAACATGAAATCCTTAAAATGCTTTGCATTCTGGTCTTCTGCTTTTCAGAGAGCTAGTCTTGCAGCACCTTAGAGACTAACAAAAAATGTAGATGGTATCATGAGCTTTCGTGGGCACAACCCACTAAGCTCATGATACCATCTACATTTTTTGTTAGTCTGCAAGGTGTTGCAAAACTATTTGTTGTTTAAGTTTTTCCAGTTACAGACTAACATGGCTACCCCTCTGAGTGAGTCTCATCTACTACACTGTGAGTCACACATTTAAAAGTTCTCATAAATATCTGATTAATGTGGCACCTGGACAAAATTTTGGAACATCAATATTACACTGTAAATAAAAAATATTATGAAGCTTTGTTTAAATGAGCATTTAGGTCCTGAACCATCAAAGCATTTAAGCATGTGCTTATAATTAAAATAGATGTTTACATGCTATGCTGGATCAAAACCTTTATGTCTATGCATATTCTCACTGCATTTAAATGTTTTTTATCAACATCCCTGACCTGAACTCACCAATGACTTACATTTGAGATTCCTTTAAAATGCAGTTATACCTTGTACCTCCTTACTCTGACCTGCTGCTCCCAATGTGAATTGAGGGTCATGGATGCTAGCTTTAGTCACAAAAGATTCTGTTAGGTGCATTATGAGAGAAAGAGAGGTTTATTCTAGTTTTGTTAACAATTCTTGTCCATGTTACTTGACAAACTCTTACAGGGCCAAGTTCTGCTATTCTACTGGATTATGCCTGTGCAATCCAACAACGGGTCTGCACAGATATGAGGTTGGAATTTAGCCAGGAAAATCTTTACTAGTAATGATGCCAAAAAAGTAGAAAAAAAGGTTGACTTTCAGATTTCAGCCTGGGCTGTTACATCAAAACAGAACAGGTTTTGTTCTTGCAAACCAAATAAATTTGATCTGGAAATCCCTGAGACATATCAAGGCATGTTTGAGTCCTTTTCCAAAGAACTACTGAACTTTAAATCCCAAAGATCATTTTATCCAAGCCCAATGAAAGGAGAATGGAAGTTCACCTAGCCCTCTGCTTCTCTTAAGTAGCTCGCTCTCGCTCTAATTTAACCTTAGAACTCCATTTCAGATCTCAAGAGCACTTCCCTCTGCAAGTTGAATTTCTATTCCCTAGCCATCCATTTAATTGATATTTGGATTGTGTACCAAGCACTCTTCCTCCCCTTGTCCTTGCTAGCACTCAAGGTCTAGGAAACCAAAAATCATTTGTCTCATGGAGAGATGGACCAACCTACAAAATATGAATCCTGATTTTTGAACCCCTCCCAAAGTCAGATGTGAAGTTTTGGTTTAGAATGAAAGAAACAGATGCAAAATTCCGATACAGATTCCGATTACCAAAGCTTAGAAGTGCTTGGATTCAGGTTATTTGTTCTGGACATCTCTAGTTGTATTGCACTGACTGCAAAATTAAGAGTGCCTCCTGATCTCTTAGCAGGGCCTAAAGAATCAGAAAGTAGACTAGTGGCTTCCATTGGAAAAGCCACTGTGTGTCTTCTCCAATAAGATGTGGTCTTCAATAGGTCCTGATTTCCTGTCTGACTACTTCCAGCAGTACCTGAAGTTTGAATGTAAGATAATCTGCCACAAGAGAGAAAGGAAGGATGAATATTTAATTTGGCGGGGTTTGAACTATGTTAAAACTGTTGTGTTTAGACAAAGCATTTTATGTGGAGAAAGAATTTATTTCAGTGCAACTGAAACCATTTCTAATATAGCCCATTCTTTAGCAAAACACTATCTCTGCTGCCTTTCCTTGTGTATCTACTTAGATGTTTTTAATGCTCGTAAAAAGTACAGAACCCAGAGGAAACTTACTAATGCACCGACTCATCTAAAAAAGTCAGGGTTCAGAGTAAAACATGGATTTGGTCAGTGCTTTATCTGAGAGACAGACATTGTATTTCACGTGCTACCCCTGAATCATTGTGCTTGACACTACATGGGAAAATCTTCTCAAAATGTATCTTCCTGAAACTTCTCAAGACAGGATACAATCTTGGTGCTCCATGACCAACATGTATCTTTTGTCTATTTACAAGTATATACTGGCAACTAGAAAAAAAGTGTATTTCCCTTCTCTCCCTGGCTTCCTCCCTTCTCCTTCCCCAGGCTTTCCACAGAAACATGACCGCAAAGCATCAAAATTGGGGTCTGCCAAATTTGCGGCCATGAACATCACATCATGGACTGTGAAATCTGGTCTCTGGCCTCTCTGCCTTCACAGCTGGCAAAGAGTGGTGCCTGCTGCCTGGGGGCCCCAGACCACCTTTACTTCTCTGCTGCTGCTGGCTGGTGGCTCTGCCTTCACAGCTGGCAGAGAGTGGCGCCTGCTGCCTGGGCCCCCCAGACCACCTTTACTTCTCTGCTGCTGCTGGCTGGTGGCTCTGCCTTCACAGCTGGACAGTGGGCCAAAAGCTTCTGTCTCACCAGCTATGAAGGCAGAGCAGAGAGCAGCCACTTTTGCCTGGGTGCACAGCTCTAAAGGCAGCGCCACCTACCAGGCATTGCAGAGAAATGAAGGGGGCAATACTGTGACCCGTTAGTAGACTTGTGACTCCCTTTTTGGTCTAAGTCCCCAGTCTGAGAAATGCTGTGGGGAGATCACATTTTTTGTGGGCTGTTTACAGCTTAAATAGCAAATTTCATAGGTGTGTCACCTATAAAGATGGTGTGAGTTCTCAAGGATTTAAGTAATCCCCGAATCACAATACATTTTCTTTAGAAGTGGGGCCAATTAAAACCCTTGAACCAGATCCCCAAATCCTGATGACATTCAGATCTAGAGCAAATCACTGCAGCTTGGGTTCTCCTTTATTTTTAAGTTATATGTTTCTTCATATTAAACCCAGACTTAGCGCACACAGTCTCATACAGGTAGAGAGTTCTGAATCCTGCGCAGGATCTATTATGACAGGATGTTACGATGTTATCCTTTTTAATCAAATTTATACTCACAGAACGTGGCTTGGCAACAGTCAGGTATTGGCCTGTTGACTACCAAGAAATAGACTGGAAAGCCACTTAAAACCATGGCGCAGCCAATGCTGATATACACGGGGTCTGAGTAGAAAGACATTGTCACAGCAAAGAGGCAAATAATGGTGAAGGAGACAGGAATGAAGAGAGGAACCTGGGAAAAAAGAGCACAGATCTTTCTAATCATATCTGACCATTGCAATTTGTCCAAATAATGATGGGGTTGGAACCAATGTTCTCTCTAATTTTTTCCATCCATGCGTGGAATACAGTTTGTTATGTGCACCAAGGTAGATGTGGATGTGCACCACCACTAGAAACACATTCTGCTGGCTGTGGACACTCTGTCAGTCAGCTGGGTGGCACCTGAATCTCTCCTGTGCAGCTGCCCCAGCACTCAGCTTACAGGGAGCGCAAGCTGTAACAGAAGAGTTATTGGAAGAACTCTCTGGAGACAGGAAACTAGGGGCTGAGATATAGGAGTCTTATAGGGAGAAACCCCACAGACAAACTAAGTTCAGGAGTGAGGTTTGGCTGAGGCTTGTGTTTTGTTCTGGCAAACACCATGGGCAGTGTTTTGACACCCCCCTTCTGATGTGTGTATCAGAGAGTGGGGTTGGGACTATCTATTTTCACCAGATCTCCTGTTCTCCTACCCCCTGGACCACACTACCTTCTTAATTAAACATGACTGTTCACAAGTGGATAGAACACCATTGTATTAAAGGCTGGCTGATCGTTCCAGTGGCAGACAAAAAGTTTCCCCCATATCCTTTGCTGGGTCCCGATCTCTAAATGGATCCGAGGTCATGTGTATCATGTTCTAGCTCTCAGCGAACAATAGGGACAGAAGCCTGTTACAATAACCATGGGCTTGTGTCCTCTTCACTTTGAAGCTGGCCATGTGTTACCTTGAAGAGACTGGGCAGTTCAGGGTGGCGGTAACGATGGATGATGAGCCCAAGTGTGGCTAGACCTATGAAGAGCCATCGGGAAAAGCTGAAGAAATTCAGTAGCTGGTAGATGTCTCCAAAGCACACCATGGCAGTAACCAATGGGAACTGGGGATTGTAAAGGTAAAACATGTTGATTAAATCCTCATGCCAGACTTTAGCAATTTAAAAACATTGATGGGTCAGAAATTCCCATTTATAGGCTGCTGCAGTGAGATACAGCTGGCACTCTGGGATAGTGGCTGATTTTAATGCTCAGCTGAGACCTCTATATTTACTGCAATTGAGGATTCAGGGTGGGAATGCCTGGCAGGCAAAATGCTTTGTTTGCAAATAAAACAAGTTTGCACCACTTTGCATCAAAAAAGACACTGTTCATGCTAGAAGGCACCTATAATGGCCATGCAGAATTGATGAAACATTTTGCACAAAAATTTATTTCATGTGACCTCAACCCATCCCCTGACATGTCAGTGTCTGTGATATTTAAAGCACTCCATCAGCCACAAAGGAGCCTGCAAAACCAGGAAGGCACATTTTTCTGGGATAATTTTGAGACATGGTTGTGGGAGGTGGCAGCAACCTTCTTAATTTAGGCTACATGGTCATAGGCTTTTACATTCAGGACAGGGAGTCAGGAGATCTGGAGTGCAAATCTTACCGCAATCACTAAGCTACCTGATAATACATTGCAATATGGAATCAATGTAAAGTGTTTTGCAAGTGTGAATAAATATCAACAGAAAGCTTTTTTACTCTTCAGAGTAAATCCCTTTTACTCTTCAGAGACCGGAGAGTAACTTGATTCCCTTTAAGCCTCACACACCTATCTATGCATAGTGGCATGTACAATAAAGCAAAACCAGAAGGGCAGAATAGCAGAAATTCCAATTTAATCAGCTCTCCTCACCATTAACATGACGGCTGGAAGGGGTGTGTGCCTTCGGATGTGGATCATGGAGAAGAGAGGAGGCCACTGACCCTCCCTTGAAGCCACAAACAGAGTCCTGAAAGGAGACATGGAGCAGTACAAGGACCTGAGTTCTAGTCTCCTGCACTAGAGAACTGAGTAAGTGGTAGCATAAAGCCAGTGTAAATACCCATAACACTGGCTGTCCACACATACCATGCAAATTAGGGTGCAGTTTGTACTTGTCAACATCTTGGTAGCTGCACCATCCTCTGCTACCTATCCCATAACTCTTTGCACAGCTTCCTGATGCAGAAACTCGTGGGTGACTTTGAAAAAAAGAAGTCAAACTCTCTTAATTCTCTGGGAAATTTCCGTAAGTCCCCAGGAGCTGGCCCTTATGGAGAAACTCCATTTTTCATGCTGGAGGCTAGGATGTCCTGGCCCTGTTCTGGAGAAGCAGCAAAAAGGAACAGCTAGAAGTGCTACTGCAGCACTCGTTCCCCCCACCCCTGCACCTCTGCAGCACTTTAGTGTGATCCTCACTGCACAGAGCAGTGTTTCCCAAATGGTGCTCCATGGAACCCAAGGGAGGGTTCTGTGAGAACTCTGAACTCGCCCGCCTCCCCCAGTTAAAGAGACAGCTCTCGCTTTTTGGGGGGGAGGAGGGGGGAGGGCAGGGCTCAACTAATTTTCCTGGCTGGGGTTTCTCAAAATTCTAAAAGGGTTCCGTGGCCCATTTTTAGTACATATATTCAAACCTGTTCAATGGTGCAGATTTGGCTACAAGGCAGGGGATGGGAGAGTGGTGTTCCATGGAATAACGGGCTGGGGGATTCCCAAACCTCTGGCCAGATGCTAGGGCATCTAGATCAGTGTTTTCAAACTTTTTCCTCATGACTCAGTTGAAGAGAATTTTTAGATGCCCACGACCCAACACAATTACATCTTTTGACTAGACTCTAGAGTGAGGGCTCTGGGGTGGCGCCAGGATGGGGTTGGTGTATGTTGGGGGGATAGGGCTCCATCTGGATGTGCAGGCTCTCGGGTGGGTAGATAGGGTTGCCAGGTGCCTGGTTTTCACCCGGATAATCCAGAAATCGCGTCTTCTGTCTGGTAAAAAATACCAGACAATACCAGACATGTGCAATGTCCGATATTTTCTGCTTTTCCGGCTGGGTGCCAGACCGAAGCCTGGTGGGGGCAGGGGCAAAAGGAGTGGTTGGAGAGCCAGCACCACGATTGCATTTCGGTGCTGGGAGCCATTGCCTCTTGTTGCCTCTGACATGGGAGTGACATCTTGGGGAGGAGGAGGAGCCCTGTCCGTGCTCCTGAGCGCTCTTCAAGCACATGGTGCAGCTGTAGTCTGGGAGAGAAGCCCGCAGGTGCCTTCTGGCTGTGTATTTAGGCTCCCGTCTCAGCCAAAACTGACTGGGGTGGAATTTCTGCCTGTTCCCACTGGGCCACCCAAAGACCTGGCTATGTGGGTTTCACCTTCCTACCCACTCCTGCTGCTTGAGTTCCCCGCGGCCACCCTCAACCCTGCCATTAGGTTGCCCTGGGGTCTGCCTCTCTGCTCATCAAAAATATGAGTTTTTGAAAAAAAATGATAAAAGCTGCACTATTTAATGTAAAAAATATGATATAGACTCTTGAGATTGTTGTTAATAAAGTTCCCATTGGGTCTTAAGCATGGTGATGGGTTTTTGGGGGGGTTTTAATGCTCAACAAATTTTTAGCATGTGTGTTCAATATTTTTTTTTAAACCATCTGGCAACCCTAGGGGAAGAATGAGGGTTTTCGAGTATACTAGAAGGTTCTAGGATGGGGAGGCAGAGCAAGGGGGTTCAGGGTGTGAGAGGAAGCTCTAGACTGGGGTGGGTCCAGACCCCATCTGAGGGTGCAGGCTCTGGGGTGCGATGGAGATGAAGTGTTTGGAGTGTGGGAGGAGGCCCTGGGCTTGGAGAAGTCTGTATTTTCTGAGCTATGTCTCAGGATTGCTTGTGTCTCAGCTAGCTGATGAGTGATAGCTACAGGTCAACAGATTTGTTCCCTATGCTCTCCTCCTGTCTACACTATGAATGTACGAGATTTAAGAGTCTGACCTCGAAAATGTAATGATTGCCACATTTATGGTTCCAATGCAGGACAGAGCAACCAGGATGGGAATCACGGAGATGAGGCTCTGGAAAGCTTTTTGTGCAAAACTCTGGAGGAAAGAGATGATTCAGTTCAGAAACACTCTCGTAATCCCTGAGTGGCATCAGGCTTCATGGAAATAGCTGGATGGCTTAAAATAGAACTCCTCTTACTCCCAAATCCGTATTACCTATTCCTCATCCCCACCACCCTCTAGATCTCTATTGCTTTTTTCCATTTCCTCAGATGAAGCCAAGAGATGTTATTACTTGCTAATACTCATGAGACGTGACAAACCTGAAGGCCTTTCTGCTATAAAATCCATTATTTTTGTCCACATCCTAGAAGCCTCCGCAGCCCACCCCACCCACTTAGTGTAAATTGTTCCTTCTGAAGAAAACCAATAATGGGGTTTACAACTCACCACAGCCACCGCCTGGGACGCCAACACATCTTCTACTGTCAAAACTGTATAATAGGACACGTTGGTGAGCATGTACCCCACCATTACAGTGAGCACAGACACGATCACAGCCAGCGGGTTATTTCTACAGAAGTGGGAGATACAGTGCTAATTAACTGAGATGATCTTTGTTTTGTTTGACTCACATTATCAGTATTACCACTCCGGGCAATAGCAAAATTAACTATTATTTTTCTTTCTATTTGGAAGGCAGCTTATGTTGAAATCATGCTGCCTCCAGTGGCTGGTATTAAAGGCCCCTCTCCCCGTCTTACCGTTCAGGTCGGACCAGTTCTTCTCGCACAAAGCTCGTCTGAAACCTGCAGCGGGAAAGAAGACAGGTTATGGTGGAGTTTGAATGATGGCTCAAGAGAAGCCCTGTAGACTTAGGAGTAGATTCTACCGTCCATTAAATGACCCTGACTGCACATACCAGCCTGAATATGCAAACATCCCAGCATAAAAAGCCAAGGGCAGCTTGTCCAAAACCAGTGACTGACTATTGAAAGCATCCTGGAAATTTTCAGTGTGGCCTAAAAATAGGAGAGAAACACCGGGTTAGAGAGCAGAGAAGCACTGGAGACAGAGACTTCCCCTTTAAGGGTGGGGGAAAAATATGCAGAAAAGGTTCCATTATGAACTTTGTTTCTGGTGCTTTCCCAAATTAATGCCACACTACTGCCCTCCCCTTTTATTAAAGGCTTCTTCTCTACACTCAGACTCTGTGCTTGCGAGTGGGGAAGCATGGCCTTTCTGAGGCGCTCAGGGGTGGGTGTGAATTGCTTAGGTTACTGGGTGGGAGCTCCAGCCCATTCTGTGTTGGATGGATGAGGAATCCCTTGATATTGAACCTGGCCCTGGCTGCTGCTGGCGCTACCTGGCAGAAGTGTTACAAATAAAAGGACTTATTGTTTGTGACACCCTAATGAATGATTTATAATCCCGGTGTGGTCACATTAGGTACAACCTGTAATTCTGAGGTCTATAAGGCCAGATGTACGCTACCAGAGAAAGTTGACCTAAGATAAGCAACTCCAGCAACTAGAACAGCACAACCTGTAATTCTGAGGTCTATAAGGCCAGATGTACGCTACCAGAGAAAGTTGACCAATAAGCAACTCCAGCAACTAGAACAGCGTAGCTCGAGTCCACATACCTTAGCATGAATTTGTGGCATCTCCACTGCAGGAGATGGATGGGAAATACTTTCCCATCAACTTCCCTTGCACCATTGAGTACCAGGGTCGATGGGGGCAATATCAGAGGTCAGTTACTAGACCTGCTAAATTGAACCCCAGGAGAGCACTATCTGGAGCTTCGATCTCAGGTAGTGAAGACACTTTCACAATATGAGCATCTATGCTGGGAGTTGTACTAGTGCAACTGTTAAACTATGTCAGTAGTAGGGATATAACAGTGTAGTTGATTAACCAATTAATCAATAAGCGAAAGATTATTGGTTATTTCTATAGATTACACTCATTTCCCTCCTTACCTTGCTAGTAAATTTTTTAGCAGTCTGCCCTACAGCCCGGTTTGGTCCTGGCTCACACTAGGTCTGGGACCTACCCTCACTGTGGCTCAACATTTAAAGCATATTAGGAGACGGGCGGGCAGGCAGCCCAGCTCAGTTCAGGCTCATGCCAGGTCTAGCAGCTCAAACACCCCCCTGCAGAAGGCTGCTGGCACCCAGCACTGCTGCCTCTATCACGAGGAGAGCTTGTTTTTAAACTGGCTTCCCTCTCAGACCAGCTCCCGCCTGGCACCCCGTGCTGCTACCTCTGATACAGAGGCAGTAATGTGGAGTAGCAGAGGGCTCTGTGGGAATGTGGCCAGAGTCAAGTAACCCATAAAAGTTCATGAGGTTAATTGACTATTCAATTAACCGATATTTAACATCCTTAGATGGTAGAATGATACCAGTATAATGGTAAAACCTTCCCATGTGGGCAAGCCCTTAACACATGCCCTCCCGCAGACCCACCTTGGGCCAGAAGCATCATCCCTGGAACGATGATGAGCGCGAGAGCCAGGAGTTTGAAGACGGTCAGGACAATCTGAAGCCTGGCCGTCCAGCTGACGCTCCAACAGTTCAGGATGAGGACTGTGTCTGGAGGAGAGGGCAAAGAAAACCGTCCATGGCTGGAGCTCAGAACACAATCAGAATTTTACTCGTGTTTTTCCCATTGTCTCAGCCTTGTGCCAGAGACAGCAACACTCCCCGCCCTTAGTGCTGGGGAGAATTCTGGGTGAGCAGAACGTTCAGAGGGACGGGTATTTTAAGTCCATAAAAGCATGACCCAGAAAATGGCTTTTCAAGGGGAAAACAAGGTTACAGCCTGGAGAGAGGAGCCCTATCTGGTTCACTTCTCTCACATTTCCTGTTGTGCAATTCGTGCCTGGCTGATGCAATAAGCCACGAGTGCAATGTCATCTCAGGTTTCCTGCCTCACAGCAGTCTTTGCATTTGCAGCTGCCAGGACTGGAAAGGCACGCACGCTTTCACCTGTCAACTGCACTGATTGGCATCACCAAGCCTGAACCATATGTGGATATGTTCTGACGGAGCTTGCACCACAGACAGAATCTCTGCCCTCAACATCAGTGCGCCAAGCCCAGTCAGCTCCCATTCCTTTCTTCCAAAACGTCACCAGCCTGACACGGCTTCCAGCCAACACTAGACCATACCTAAAATCAGACCTTGAAACGTGCTGGCTACTACTCTGGTTTCATGTCCCAGTCGGTCTGATAGCAGTGCTTGGCCAGTGGTGATTTCTTCTCTCCACTCAGCTTTGTAATCCACAGACCCATTCCCATCAGCTTTGGCACCTCATCTTTGTTCCTTCATTCTAGAGACAGGCCCAAACCAGAACTCTAGAACTTTGGGTGATTCTGAATTTAATATGGAATCCCCGTTTCACAGTTTTATCTGTAACGGGACAAGCCCAAACCCTGGCTGTAAACATCTCTGAATTTGGGGGGAAGGAATTAGAAATCTGAATTAAAAGGGTTGTGGTTTAGGCCTCTATCTGCTTTATACTTACAGTACCCCAAGAGAGATACAAGCTTCACAGCAGGAAGTGGGGCTCCACAGGGGGCAAAGAATGGTTCCAATATGTAGCGTCCAAATGCCAGAGAAATCACTGCAACGTTGGCTGGCCTAGCAGGAGGGATGGATTCATGGAGTTAGAACTGACTTGCTGGTGTTAAGCATAAACAAGAGGCTACGTTAAAGACTGTTAATATTTGAACATTTAAATTGGACAAAAAGAGGGGAAAAAAGAATTCAATCAAGCTGGGAGGGCATAGTGAGTGGGGTCCCCCAGAGTTCACTTTTGGGTTTGGTTCTCGTGAATCTCTCTGTACCAAGCAGAGAGGGGTTGCAAGTGCTTTGGAGGATAAGATTAAAATTCAAAATTATCTAGATCTGATATAACTTAGGCCAAGAGCTTCATAGGAGTCAAAAAAGGTTTCAGTATTTAAAGGGTTGCAAGTGCTTTGGAGGATAAGCCTCCATGAAGCCTCGCAGCTCCCATTGGCTCCGTTTCATCCTTTGCAGCCAAGGGGAGTGCCACTTCCCACAGCTCCCCTTGACTGCAAAGGATGAAACAGAGCCAATGGGAGCCACAAGGCTCCGTGGCAGCGGCGCTGGTCCATAAACAAACCGGGACGGCCAGTTAAAGCATTTCCACGGTACACTTTCAGAAACACTGATCTAGATAAACTGCCAAAATGAAGTAAATAGGATGACATTGAATAAGGACAAATGCCAAGTGTTCTGCTTACAAAGGAACCATCAGCTGCACACATGCAAAAAGGGAAATGCCTTCCTAGGAAGGAGTTTTGTGAAAAAGGATCTGTGGCTCATGGTGGATCACAAGCTAAAAATGAGTCCATAGTGTAATACCGTTGGGGAGGGGTGGGAATCCATCATTCTGTTACATGTTAGTAGGAGTGATGTAAGCAAGATCACTCTAGTCCATGCAGATTAGGCCTCATACGGACTATTGTTTCCAGTTCTGGGTGTCACATTTTAGGAAAGATGTGGACACATGGGAGAAAGTCCAGAGAAGAGCAACAAATAAGATTAAGGTCTAAACAACATGACTTATAGTGGAAGACTGAAAAAAAATGGGTTTGTTTAATCTGGAGGAGATTGAGAGGGTACATAATAGTTTTTAAGTACATAAACGGTTTTTACAAGGAGGAGGGGGAAAATGGTTCTTTTAACCTCAGCAGAAAGGACAAGCAGCAATGGGTTTAAATGTCAGCAAGGATGGTTTAGTTTGGACATTAGGAAAAATTTCATAACCATCAGGGTGGTTAAGTAATGAAGTTGTCTAGGGAGGCTATGGAGTCTCCATCTTAAAGTTGTCTAGGGAGGCTATGGAGTCTCCATTTTAGGAGATTTTTAAGAGCAGGTTAGACAAATACTTGTCAAGGATGGTTGAGATAGTAGTTGGACCTGCCCTGAGTGCAGGGAACTAAAAAAAGATGATCTCTCGAGGTCTCATTCAGTCCTATTATTCTGATTTTCAGAGTAACCTTAACCAAGCATGCTGCCTTAAAGTAAAAGATTGTTAAGTGATCCTACAACAAATATATAGTAAACCAAAATGTTACCACATATCTTGCATCTAACCCCATGTAAAACACTCATCTTAAACATGAAAACAAACATAAATTGAGATTAGTTATAGTTAGTCAGTATTAAAATTCAGTGTTTGATCTCTCACATGTCATGTTTATCTCACTTTCCATGTGGGATTTTTCATGTTCATAAAATATGGGAGAAACTTCTTTGTTGTATATTTTCCAAAACGTATTTATTTTGAGAACTGGACTAATCCAGAGAATTTTCATCATAAGATAAATCAAGAGAGAGTTTAAAGTTGCTTAAAATAGAAGCTAGCTTTATTTTGAATGACAATCATAACATCACTATGACGGTGCTATAATGAGGGAACCAAATGTCCTGGAGAAGAGAGTGATTTGCACATGCTGTTGCAATGTGCACATGTGGCTATTTACTCCCTCCACCTTCTTTCTTTTATAAGACTTTCAAAGAAACATCTAGGGTTTCTCATTTTATGAAGTTTTTAAAATCATATACACTGCTTATCCATTTCCACGGCTTTCCCAGGTCTTATTAACACCTAACTTCAGGTAGCAGAAAAGAAATCTTACCAAATAGCAAAGTACTCAACCCACAGATACAAGAAACTTGGCAAAGGCCCCAATGTCTCCATAACATAGATGTAATGTCCTCCAGACTTTGTGAGTCTTGTTCCAAGCTCTGCATAGCACAAAGCGCCTGGAAAAGATCAAGTAAAAATGCATTTAGTAAACTGTCACTGAATTACCACTGCATATAGAATGTATTAAGAATTAAAGTGATAGAAATGTAGCCATGTTAGTCTGGGGTAGCTGAAGCAAAATGCAGGACAATGTAGCACTTTAAAGACTAACAAGATGGTTTATTAGATGATGAGCTTTCGTGGGCCAGACCCACTTCCTCAGATCAAATAGTGGAAGAAAATAGTCACAACCATATATACCAAAGGATACAATTAAAAAAATGAACAAATATGAAAAGGACAAATCACATTGCAGAACAGAAGGGGGATGCGGGGGGGTGGGAAGGGGGAGGAAGGAAGGTAAGTGTCTGTGAATTGATGATATTAGAGGTGGGGAGAGTGGGATGTTTGTGAGTTAATGGTATTAGAGGTGATAATTGGGAAGGAATCAGTTAAAATGAGTTAAAAACATTCAACATAAGAGCTACTATACTAGTTCAGACCGTGGTCCATCTTACCCAGTAATCTGTCTCTGACAATTGCTGGTATCAGAGATTCAAGGAAAGAGTACATAACAGACAATTTTGGAGTGACCCATTCCTGACTTCTAGTCCCGGCTTCTAGTGTAGGATTGCCCCAAGCATAGGTTGGCTGGCACCCCTTAACTCTCGACTAATAATCAATGATGGTCCTTTCAGCCCTGAACGTATCATCTTTTGAACCCAGTTATACTTTTGGCCATCACAACATTCCATGACAATGAGTTCCACAGGTTAGTTGTGCACTGTATGAAAAAGTACTTCCTTTTATTTCCATTACATTTGCTATTAACAAAGAGGTGACTGGTTTTGTGTTGGGGGGGGGGGGGAATAATAATTCTGAATTCATTTCCCCCCCCGCACTATTCATGATTTTATAAACCTTTATCATATCTCCCCATGACTGGGCAGAAACTGCTGAGCCAGACCTCTGACACTCCAGCTCCAATTAAGAGAGGTGAATTGGAAGCAGCAGAAACAGCTGCTGCCTAACTAGGCTAGGGCTGTATAAAAGTCTCAGGAGAAGGAAGCCAGGGGGAAGGAACAGGAAGAAATAGAAAAGGCAGGGAGTGGAAGCAGGAAGATAGCTCTCCCCTCTTCTAGAAGGTAAAATGCTACTTATTTGGTGAAAAGTTGGTGGAAGCACAACCCGTAAATAAACTGCAGTGGTGGTTACTAAACCCAGGGTCTCAGAGTGACTACAGCCAGTCCCCGAGTTGCGAACAGTCGAGTTACGACCGTTCACATTTATGACCAAAGCTTCCATGAAGCGGTCGTAAAGGCGGTCCCCGAGTTACGAATGCGACCCATGCTTATGAACAGCGCAGTCGCTATGTAACTCAATGGGGTCCGAGTTACGAACAGATCAAGTTACGGCCAAGTATTTGGTCCGTAACTCAGGGAGAGGCTGTATCAGCCCAACAGGGGCAGGAAACAAGGCGGCCTGACAGCACCCTGTTGTACTTCCCTTTGTTTTCTCTTTCCTAAGCTAAATACCTCTAATCTTTATTACAATGGTGGGCCACATGCATGCGTGGCTTGTGAGACATTTTGTTTACTATTGCTCATGTGCAGGGTTGCCAGATTCCACTGGTTTCTGTTGTCATTGTTTCCCCAACAGTACTACTAAAGTGACACGTGTGTAAAGCAAGGCACATGAAGTGAGGTGCATACTAATTGCACACAATATTGACTGAGCGCGCCATGCATTCCCTCTGTATCCAAAGTGCTGCTATGGTTCACCTTGCAAATTCTAGGACACAAGCGCAATTATCAAAACTACACTATCCCGGGAGTCCATCTTGGTTACAACAGACTTGTGGCGCACTGAGATGACGAAGTGCCACTCAAGTGGCCCACTCACAAGCCTAGTTTGCCCATCACTTATTTAAATTAGTAAAATTGGATGACCGTGAATTATAATTAGGAGCACATAAATGTATGAATGTTTATATTTATAAAGAGTTTAACAATTAAGAAAGATAATTTTAAGCAGTTACACCTGGGGATCCCAAGATGTTGGTTTCAGGGAATCACAGTCAGAGAGAAACTAAAATGGTGGTCTTGGAGCAATCCGGACAATAGTATGAGGTAACGGTCACTCTAAAACCTGAAGGGAAGGGTCAGTTGAGCATGACACAAAACTTCAGTCAGGACCCATTCTGATTGACAGATAAGTTTAGCTGACGAGATTGGTTCATAAGAATGGGCCAATCAAGAAAAGCTTAAAGATATTGCCAGATAGGTATGCTAATGAAAAGGATTGAGGGATAAACCAATCACAACAGGACGAAACTTGTGTATAAAGCAGAGAGCTGGTAGGCTTGAGTCCATCAAGGTATGAGCAGGAGGGTGTGAGTGGAAGAAGTTAGAGTGAGTGAACTCTGAAAGAAGAAACATTAGCTGAAAGATAAGAGCTAAAATAACTGAAGAAAGAAGGCAAAGCAGTGGGAGCCATGGCAGACAGAGCAGACAGAGCAGTGGGACAGAAAGTTATGGAGGAGTAAGTGTGTTGACTCACATAAGGAATAATTACAGTGTGTGAGAGTGTGTACGCTGGGTGTAAAAAAGTTGGATATTTGTGTAGGTGTGTGTTTGTCTAAAGAATTGCTGATAGCAATTACATTGCTGATGTAATTGGCCATTGCATGTGGAATGTAACACTTAAAGCTATTTCCCATTGTATGATATTGCAATGCTGGGTATTAAGGGCATGTCTACACAGCAGGGCAAAAGTCAAATTAAGCTACACAACTTCTGCTATGTGAATTGCGTAGCTGAAGTCAAAATAGCTTAACTCGGCTTTTGGCGCTGTCTACACAGCAGGAAGTCAAAGGAAGAACACTCTTCCTTCAACTTCCCTTACTCCTAGTGAAATGAGGGTTACAGGAGTCGGAATAAGTAGTCCTTCAAAATAATGGCTTGCTGTATAGATGCACTCTTTCTGAATAAAGTCAGTTATTCAGAAATAGGCTATGTCTACACAACAGCGTTAAGTGTTGGGTTTTCCCCAAGTCCCTCAGGCAAACCAGTTAAAACAACAGATCCCTGGAACCCTGTGGACACAGGAACTTGTTTTTGCTGCACTTCTATGGCATTAGGAGACAGGAGTTTGGTCCATTGTGTTCCTAACGTACTTTTCCTGGAGAAGCAAAGTTAGGCCTTTGTTATAGATTAATATTATTCACGAGTTTATCCGTCTACCAAGCATTTAGCAAGAAGAGTAAAGCAACTCAGCACCCACCAAACAGAGAGAGAATGCCACAGGCAAACCAGACAATTAAGGAGACACCCAGGTTGCCGGAGTTTTTCAACACCCCTTTTGGAGAGATGAAGATGCCGCTGCCCACCATGCTGCCAACGAGGAGTGAAAAAGCCCTCAGCAAAGTGATCTTTTGCCTCAGAAAAACAGCCTCCTCTTCTTTCTTGGCTTTGCTCATGGCCTCTACAATTTCAGAGCAGGGGTGGGCGTTGAGAAGTCAAGGATTCCTCAAGAAGAGGTGCTACCATAGGGGTCCTTTTCAATCCCACAGTCAACACAGCTCACCTGTGGTAGGGGAAGAGAAAGTCAGATTTGTGGAGCTTCTTGTAGGAATGATGCCAGCTTGCCGATAGCACATAAAAATCTGTCAAAGTCAGGACCCTTTCAGAAGCTTTGAGTTGGGCACCTATAAATTTAAGCTTAACAAAATCACTAGTCACTTTTGAAATTCTTGTCCTTAAAAATGTAAGGAGACTAATAAACAGTTGGCTAAAGCCAGGTGCACTTTGGCAAGAGCAGCACATTAGCCAGGGCGTGGTTTTTTTACTCAGATGTTTTATTTCTCACTGCTCCATAGTAGGTAGCACATCCTCCGAGGCAGGGAAAGATGGCTAATCCTAGAATATGAGGACTGGAAGGGACCTTGAAAGGTCATCAAGTCCAGGCCCATACCCTCATGGCAGGACCAAGTACCAGCTAAGCTCACCCCTCACACATGTCTAACGTGCTGTTAGATATCCCCAGTGATGGAGATTTCACAGCCTCGCTGGGCACTTTATTACAGTGTTTAATCACACTGACAGTTAGGACTTACCCATCCTGTGGTTAGCTGCCCCGCTGTTCTCAAAAATCAAACTCTGGAGGCAGGGAGAAGGTGTCCAGCTAGCAGATTTTTGTTTTTAAGATCTGGTGTCTTGGCTCTTTGCAACACTGAGCTCAAGTGAGGTGCCTGCCTTCTTTCCCCTAATGTCCCACCTAAACCTCCCTTGCTGCAATTTAAGCCCATCGCTTCTTGTCCTGTCATCAGGGGTCAATGCTTTTTTGTGATGGTACGGCCCAGGACAATGTACCAGTATCTATTTTCCCTGCATAACAAATGAATTGCATTCTCCTTGGGCATACCAGCACCTCTTTTCCTGGGGTGGCTGGGCTCCTGATGGAAGCCCACTTGGGACATGCAGCTCTTAAAGAGGCCATAAAGGCATTTTGGCCCCCCGGTGCGGCTTTTTTTTTTTTTGGCTCAACAACTTTCCCCCCGGAGTACCAGAACCTTTTTTTCATCTTCCCTCCCCTCCCCAAAATAAAAAGCGTGCAGAGTCAGAAGTTAAGGAGAATAATTTGTCTCCCTCCTCTTTTTAACATCCTTTTAAGTACTTGAAAACTGCTATTGTGTCCCCTCTCAGTCTTCTCTTTTCCAAACTAAACCAACCCCTTTTTTCCAGTCTTCCCTCATAGGTCATGTTCTCTAGACCTTTAATCATTCTTGTTGCTTTTCTCTGGACCTTCTCCAATTTCTCCACATCATTCCTGAAATGTAGTGCCAGAACTCGACACAATATTCCAGTTCAGACCTCATCAGTGCAGAGTAGAGCGGAAGAATGACTTCTCAAGTCTTGCTCACAACGCTCCTGTTAATGCATCCCAGAATCATGTTTGCTTCCTTTGCAATAGCGTCACACTGTTAACTCATATTTAGCTTGTGGTCCACTATAACCCCTAGATCCGTTACTGCAGTGCTCCTTCCTAGACATTCGCTTCTCATTCTGCATGTATGGAACTGACTGTTCCTCGCTAAATGGAACGCTTTGCTTTTGTCCTTATAGAACTTTATCCTATTTACCTCAGACCATTTCTCCTATTTGTCCAGATCATTTTGAATTATAAACCTATCCTCTAAAGCAGCTGCAACTCCTCCTACTTTGGCATCACCTGCAAACTTAATAAGCGTACTCTCTATGCTGATATCTAAATCGTTGATGACGATATTGAATAGAACCAGTCCCAAAACAGACCCTGCGGAACCCCACTTGTTATGCCCTTCCAGAATGATTGGGAAGGACTGGAATGAAAAAGGCAGGCAGGGGCAGTAGTTTCGCTGCCAAGAAGAGCCATGCAGATGAAAGGTGGGGTTGAATGTGACATGGCCATGTACCCCAATGGGGTAGGAGGTACCATCCTCTAGGGATGAAGCCCTTACTGCAGGATCAAAGGTGGAGCGAGCTTGATTTTAGCTCCTCTTTCCTCCTCTTAGCTTGGCCTGTGGTTAGCTACCCAGCTGTTTTCAGAACTCAACCCCTGGAAGCAGGGGGAAGGTGTCCAGCTAACGGATTTTTATTTTGATGGGTGACCTCGTCCTCATTTCCCCTACCTCCAGTAGCTGCTGGATAAACAGAAGTATCTGCCACAGCACATCTGGATTTGGTGGAGAGATCTGCCCCCCCATGGAGAATGAGATCACTGTTTATGCAACATAACCCCTACAGCCATGGGACACAGTAACCAAACCTCTATTCAAAAGGCACAACAAATTAAAAAAAATATTGTCTAGCTTGTTAACATTCCCTCTGTTTATGACCATAAAAATGAGAGCAGTCACCACCAGACTGGACCTATCTACCCATCTGTCTAGACTCTACCCAGCCACATCCACAAAGCAGCCCCAGTTCCTCCAACTCTGGGAAGGTGGGGGGGAAAAAGCACACTGGTAGGGGGTAAGGTGCACAGTGCGTTTTGTTTCACGGGCACTGAATGCGACAGCACCGTGTGCGCTTTACAGCAGCACAGTTCAGAATGGTTAAAATCTGCAGCAAACAAAGCTTACAAAACAAAATGGTATTTCCAGAATAGTGAGATTTTAAATCCAAATCTCTAGCTCTCTTTCCATGGTTGGGGAGAAGGAGAACCACTTAGAGCTTCACATCCAGGTTACCAGTTCGCATCCCTTCTTAGTGAGTGAAAACAGACCCACTCCAGTGGCTCCTCAGGGGCCCGATTATGCTGCGTTAGTAGCATCAGCTCCTTTCCTACACAAAATAAAGATGGGCCAGTGGACAGGGCACTTATCTGAGACTCTGGAGACCTGGATTTGATGCACGGCTCCACCACATATTTTCTGTGTGACGCTCTCTCCCGGTCCCTGTCTGTTGAATGGGGATAGTCACACTTCCCTGCCTCCCAGGGGTGAGGGGAGGACAAGAACATTACAGGCTGGGAGGTGCTCAGATACTGTGGTAAGAGGGCACATTAGTCCATTGAATAGGTAAATGGCAAGAACGGCTGCCCACACAGTCAGCTCCCAGTCTCTGCAGAAATGCTGGATGGCCATGGAGACACTTCCCCTCTTGCCCCTGGTGGTGGTCCCCGCAGGTACACGTGGTGAGGCAGCCTGGCAAACTCCAACAGTACAGAGTTCACTGCAAAGAGGGGCTGGGGAGGAATTAAATCCAGGTTCCTGACCCTTCTCAGCTGGAGAGCAAGGAGCAGGGAGGGCACCTCACACTGTGCGCTGGGAATTACCCCACCTTGCCTCAGTAGCCACAGTCATGCTAGTTCTCATCAAGCTGCCATGCTAAAAAATGGTGTCATCACTGTGACTGGCCAACTGTCCTGAGAACGTATCTTGCCTCTCAGGCTATTTCTAGACTGCAACCTCTTCTTTCGAAAAAGTGAGCCGCTTTTTCGAAAGAGCACCCAGGCAGTCTGGATGCTTTGTTTCAAAAAAGCCCTGTTTGCATTCAAGAATGCCTTTTTTTGAAAGAGCATTTTCGAAAAAGGCGGTATTCCTCGTGAAACGAGGATTTTCGCCACCGAAAGAAAAGCTGCGTTCTTTTGATTTAATTTCGAAAGAATGCGGCTGTAATCTAGACGCAGGTGACATTTTTTCAAAAAAAGGCTACTTTTTTCAAAAAAACCCTGCAGTCTAGACACAGCCTCAGTCAGGAGCGTACTCACCCTTGCACTGCTGCAGCCACACTGCTAAGTCTCAGCAAGCTGGGAATCAGGCTCCACTGGCCTTAACCTCCCTCAGCAAGAGAAATCCTGTATCCTGCAGCCTCAGGAAGAAAGTGAACAGACAGAGCTGAAGAAGTACCTGTACCTGCTCCAAGAAGGCAGTCTCCCAGTCCCCACCTTTCACAGGCATTAAACGAAATCTGCACCTGTTTTTCTCTCCCAATCCCTCAATTAAGGAGGAAGCTAATGAGCTCAGTGAACATTATCTAGACACGCCTCATAGGCTTGCTCAGCCTGGAGGAAGGAAAGTTCTCAGAAAGGAAGGCTGTCAGCAGCAGGACTAGTTACAGGAGAGACTGCTGTGCCTCAGAGACAGCCAGTCACTGTAAAAGATCAGCAAAGGAGATGGGCACTGAGTCAGATGCCCCTAAGACCATGTGGACTACATGGGCAGCAAATGAAGGCCTAGCTGAGGAAGGCAAGCTCCAAGCCCTCTCCTTCTGCCTGAGGCCCACCCCTGGTACCAAAAGCCCCGCCTACCCCCAGCTCAGTCCTTTCTGAGCTGCTGTGCTGCAGCCCTGGCCTCAGTCTCAGCAGCCACCGCTGCCTCATCACTGCCCCAGCTCTCCCTGGTAGATGGGGAAGCTGGGCTGTCATGCCGTGGCCCCAGCCTTTCCAGGTGGCTGGAACACATAGGCAATTTTGGGAAGGCTGTGCCTTCCCTTACCTACATTACTGACTGCCCATGTTGGACGAGGTATGGACCAGCTATTACCAATGTTCCCTCTAATCTTTCTCACGCAAGTGAGGATTTTTTCCATTCATGTGTGGAATAAATTTTACATGCACCAAGGCATATGTGAATGTGCACCACCCGTAGTAACAAAAAACTATCTGTGGGCACTTGCTAATCAGTAGAGCAGCATTTGAATCTCTCCTGAGCGGCTGCGCAAGTGCACAGCTTACAGGGAAAGTTGGCTGTTACCAAAACCCTGAAGGCCTCCAACTCTGATTAGGATAATAAAAAGCCTACAGACAAGCCAAGACCCTGAGGGATGAGAGAGACATGGACCAAGAGACTAAACACATTATACCCCACCCCTCTTTTCTGTACCATGTTTCAGTGAGGGGAAAGGCAGGCTCAGCTCTTGAAAGATTTTTGTTTACCCCCCAGGCAAGGGAAGGATGCAGGGCTTGTCTACACTAGAAGCATTTCTGTTAGGAGAACATGAATGCAGCTGCACCATGGCAGCGCGTCTGGGGAAGATGTTCTATGCCAACGGGAGAACACTTTCTTATCGGCATAATGAATCTACCTTTGGGAGGAGCGGCATCAGGCTGGTGTAACTTATGTCACTCAGGGGGTGGCTTATTCGCAATCCTGAATGACAAGTTACACCAAAGCAAGTGACAGTGTAGAGCTGGACTCAGTGTCAGAAAGGAACCAGCATGGCCTGCACAGGAATTCAAGGGCCAGGACCCATCCCAAGTAGTGAAGAATGCCGGCAATTTACACCCCCATGAAAAGAAAACAAACAAACCCCGAGGTGGCGGGGGAAGGTGAATAGAACGCAGCAGGTCTGAGCAAGATAGAGCCCCGCAGTGGTGAACGTGCTGCAAGCAGCTCACAACAGTAATTCCAGGAGCAATGGCTGCAGCAGTGGTTCATCCAACAACTTCTGCAAATAACACAACAGCTGCTGAGGGAACTGATGGCCCAGCAGCAGCAGCAGTTCCACAAGGACATGACAACAGATGGTGTGACCCCTGCGCTCTCCAGGAGTCCCTGTGGGGCACACTTCCACCCAGCTCAGTCCCCCTCCAGTGCCCAGAAGGCTCAGCGAGATGGGGCTGGACAATGATCTTGTCACCCATTTAAGTCTTTCCAGTATGTAGCCTGAGAGGGCTTTGATTTTGGCTCCCTGCTCTGTGGATCTAGCCCAGGCAGCCTAGCATCAGCAGGGCTCAGAGCAGGGTAAGCACAATAAGTCAAGTCGACAGTTTTGGACTATTTGGACTCTTGAGATAACCCACAGTCAGAGATTTAGATTCAAAACCACTCCCAGGGAGGCCAGACCCTGCCTAGTAGCTCCCATAATCCTCCATGCTGCATTGCTTGGGAGATGGGACAAGAGGGCAGAGGTGGAGCAGGAGGGGGGTTTGGGGAAGGGGTGGAGTGAGGGTGAGGCAGGGCCTGTAGTGGGCAGTGGTTACCCCAGGCCTCCCTCAGGATGGCCCAGGCTGTCACTTTTGTTCCATCCTGTCAAGTAGGAGATATGATCTGGACAGAGGAACAACACAGGTATTTCCCCTGGCTAACATGCTTTGAATTTATATTTTGCTTTCCAGGCCTGCCAACATTGCAGTGGTTTCCTTGGCTTTTGGTCGTTACTTAATTGAGCCTCTCTTTGCCCCTTGCCATGCCCCAGCCCTGGCTGTGAAGCTGGTCACTGTCACTGGTGTCTGTGAGTAACCCTGAAAAAACAATCAAAGCAAAGCAACAGGTTTGGGGAGAGGAAAATGAGGAGGCTCAACAAGCTATTCCTGATATTATTCTTCCCTACAATGTTTTTTGACTGTGTAAGGCAGGTGTCAGCTTTCCC